TGAAATGTAAATATAACCATAATACAAAACTTCATTTAAAACAAGAAAGAGTTAAGGAGTAATAAGAAAGTCATATACAGCCCTCCCTGGAGGCGCAGCGGGTTAAAGCACTGCACTAAGAAGTGGCTCATGAAGCCACTTCCTGAATGAGTTTGATTCCTGCCTGCCCCGGAGGTGACCACATGGTATGGCAGACCTCTCCTGACCAGCCCACTGCTCCCCTCAGCAGTGTACTTCGTCAATCTGTCTGTTCTGCTCCTCACTCACTCTGTCTTTGGTGAATCCTCTCACCCTCCACATCTCTGGCCTGTACCCCAGTTTTGTATGAATAAATAAATAAATCTTAAAAAAGAAAGAAAGAAAGAAAAAAGTCAAATACATGTTAAATAAGGCAAAGTAAGAAATCAATGGGTAATAAAAGCTGGTATCAAACCATCTCACACCTGCTCCAGCCCCTGTGAAAAACAGTATGGCAGGGGATTCTCAAAATATTAAAAGTGGATCTACCATATGACCCAGCAACTGCACTCCTAGATATCTGCCCAAAGAATACCAAAAAAACCCAAAAAGGCGGAACCAACCAAAAAAAAACACCAATTTGAAGGAATAAATGCACTCCTATATACACTGCAATACTATGGAAAAAAACCTAAATACCCCAAAACAGATGAATGGGTCAAAAAGATGTAGTATATATACACAATGGAATACTACTCAGTTTTTTTAAAGAAGGAAACTCTTGCCATTTGCATAAACATGGATGGAAATGGAGGGGGTTGTGCTAAGTGGAATACAGTGACACAAAAGAAAGGGTAGAAAAAAGTCAAACCAATGACAAATCCTAGAAATCAGATGTAGAAGGCTATCAGAGCGAGCAGAAAGTGGAGAGGACTCTGGACTTGGCAGTGGACTATGGGTCTTTGGGTAATAGGGTGCAGTGGTAACACTTGAAGGGAGAGGTCCTACACCTCTAAAACACAACATTGTAAACAATGTTACTTCAACAAAACAAAAATAAAATAATAGTACTGAGGAACTATTTTGAGAAAATAGGAAATATGGCATCGAAATAGTCTCAGTATAAGAAAGTAAACTCTTTACAGAATATTTTGAGGTAATAAATGTATTAAGAATGATAAAAATTTAAAAATACAGCTTTTTGCACTACTAGAGAAATAACTGATTCAGGCAAGGGAAATGTTAACTCAGTTAAGGAACATGGCTACTTTCATAAGACTTAGTTATTTAATAAAGAATGAATTAATGTTATAAGACATCATTTAATAGTAACTTTGATAATAAAAGAAGTTATATTTCTTTCCACCAAGCTTTCATTTCCCATCCTGTGTTAGGGGAAAATTAGAAAGATAATATTTCTTCTTTTCCCAACTTCCCACATAACAATTCTACCTTTATAAATTCTAGCCATCTTTCTACTTCTGGCCGTCTTTAACTCTGAGAGTGAAGTGAAAGAACATAGTTTCAGAGCATTTTGTCAAATCAAACTAGAATTGTTGAAGTAATGTGGTTGCAACACTAAAAGCCCAGAAGAAAAGAGGCAAAATAAAGAGCAATGGAAAGTCAAAGCTAGCCAGGGCTTTGTTTTGGGAAAGTTTTTCAGAGATGTGACATATTTTTAATAGAAGCAGAGGGGAAAGAAGTTAAGTTTTACTGCGAATTATTTGAAAGAGGCAATTGAAAGTTGGAATTACTTGAAAATACTGTTTTTAAATTTTTTCTCTTACATTTTTTAAATTAATATAAGGGCACATTACTATGGTGATGGCACATGGGTGACTTGGTGATGGGAAACCCACGGGGATTACAATTGAGATTAAAAAAATGTACAGAATGATGTAAAAATAAACTATTATATTATAAAAGAAAAATTAATATAAGGGCACATTAATTTGAATCATCATGGACATTTTTTACATTCATATTATATGATAAACTGCTGTAATCTACGAATTTCAAAATAAACTTATCATTTCTTCCTTGAAATAATCCATCTCCCATTCTCCTCCAACATTCTTTTAAAAAACATTATCAAAAAAAAAATTATCATCATCCCATGAAATGCTAACTACTAGTAACAGGCTCATGTCTTCCTTCTATATTCAACTCATACCATAAATTTAGATTTTAATGTTTAATGTAGATAATTCACCAATTAATTTTGTAATTCTTAGGCCTCAGTCTCAATGTGCTTCATTTTCACTTACACCTCACTAACCCTTATACCCAGATCCGCAAACTCAGATTTTGTCAGCACAGGAACCAACCCACACCAGAGATTTAACTCCAATATTTCACTCTCTGACCACCACTCCACCTAAATCTCTCCTATCTCTTATTCCCACTCAAGCATTTCCTTCAGTGTTACAGAAACCTGCATATCCTACTGGTATTTTCGCTCCATACCCAACAAAGACTTTCAGTTAACTAGCCTGTACTGCTTCCTTTGATCCTTCACAAGAACCAATGATCTACCTGCTGGTATAACACAAGGTAATGAAATCTTGCTTCTTCAAAAATCAATCAAAATTTATTCTTACCTTCATCAAGAAACTATCCAAATAATCATCTTGCCCTTTGATATTTATATGTGGGATGAATCTGCTACCACCAGCCAATTTTTTCTCCAAAAGGTCTGCTTTTTGCTCTGCCTTTTCTCTTTCAACCAGATGTACTCTGTGTAAGAAATCAGAAGTCAACTTCAACAATGTTCAGATTTCATAAAAAAATAATAAAAGTATCCCCCATTTAAAATACATCAAATATGCATCAAGTAAAACTGTATTTCTTATTACAATTGCTGTGGAGTTATACAACTATTTTTATGGGAAGATTAAAAATAGAGAGAAAAACAACCTCCTTTCATGTCTTGTAACAGTTCCTTTGAGGAAGGTCAAATTTGAAAGACCCTTTTCAAGGGGGAAACTGGGTATGAATATCTTTCTACCAACACCAACAATATTATGTTCATCAGAAGGTTCCATGTGGGTGAAAGTACTCCATTTTAAGAAAACTAGAGTGGAACCTTCGACTGGGATCTGATGAGAAGGAAAGCATTCTTGTTATGATTACCAATTACTAGAAACTGGCAATACTTTTGACCCTGAAATTAAAGTTTCAGTTTATCTCCCATGTTTTTAGGCCCTCTTCTAAGAAATGAATCCTACTAATTAGTGCATTTAAGTGAGGTCAAAAGAAATGAATTAGCTACAGAGAATATCTTAACTCAAAAAATTGTATTAGAAACATGTAGGACACACTCAAAAGGTCTAACATACCTCACACCTCATTGTAGCCCTAGAAAGAGAGGTAGAAACAGATGGAACAGAAATAACACTTGAAAAAATGACCCAAATAATTTCCCAAACCTGATAAAAGACATCTATGGCAATATTCAATAAGTTTTGTATATCCTAAGCAGGACAGGTACAAAGAAAATCACACCAAGGCACAGCATAGACAAAGTGTTACCAATTTTATAGGTATAGTCATGTAAAGAATAACATTTTGGTCAGCAATGGATTGACTGTATATACATAGGTGGTCTCTATATGTAGCCCAGGTGTGCAGTAGATTAGATCATGTAGGTTTGTGTAACTACACTCTATGATGTTCACATAACAATGAAATCACTTACTGGTGCAGTGCTGTATGTTGTATTCATATGAAATGTCCAGAAAAGACAAATGTATAGAAAAACAAAGTAGATTGCTAGTTGTCAGTGATTGAACAGGGTGAAATGGTAGTAACTGCTAGTGGGATGGAAAGGGGTGATGAAAATGTTCTGGAATTAGAAAGCAGTGATGATTGCACAACCTGTGACTATACAAACTGTCTACTGGGTTGTACTTTATAAGGGTGAATTTTATGGTATGTGAATAAAATGCTTTTTAAACATAATTTTGAATCAGGTATTATGTGAAATGCTACTTGATTTAAATTTTGCAACTATTAGTATTCTGTTGAATACTGTTCGCACATTTATGATAAATGACATGTTTGAAAAGAAACTAAAATTCTCTACCTTAAACGGTTTTCTAGTTCTGTAATTCTTTCAGTTAGATCCCAATTGCCTCTTTCAAAATTCTCAATATTGGTGTTTTTCAAAGACTTGACTCTGATCAGAGAAGCAATAAGTTTCTCTAGGTCTTTGATATCATCTTTCAAGGACATTATCTGGAAAGACTGTTGCACATTATTTTCTTTGTAACTCTTTAGTTCACTCTTCATCTCTTGCAAAGAAGATTCTTTTATGACAAGTTCATTTTGAAGATTTCTTAGCTAATAAAGAGAAAGTGTTACTTAAAACTTTAATTTAGGTCTTAAAAATTCATGTTTTTAAACTACTATGGTATTTACGTTATATATTGTCATATAATAAAATGAAGCTTTTCAAGCTTCCTAAATGTATCCTATCTTTAAATATGTTTTAAAAAATCATATCAAATTCACACATAAGTTTTGGATTGCTTTTCTTCTCATGAACATTAAAATTCTTTGTGAAGAGTAAAATATATCAATAACCCCTAGCAGAAAAGAAATACTTGATGCTTTGACCAAAGATACTTTATGATGTGCTTAAAGGGGAGTGTGTCCATAGGTCTTTTTCTAAAGAGGAACCTATATTTACATCACTTATTGTGCAGATCAGAAATGGGTACAGAAGAGAGTCAGGAGAAATAGGAAAGTTTAAATTATATTAGATACGTAGATAGATAAAGTATATATATGGCAAATAAAGGATAACAAAGTTATAAAGAGGGGAAGTGATCACATTGGCTGCTATTGTAAGAAATTACCAGAAAGATGACAAAACGGGTTAAAGCCCTATACTGCCAGCGAGCAGCAGCCACTTCAGAACAAGTTCCATCCCTGGCACCCCCTCTGCCCACCCCCACCAGATGATCCCCACAAAGCCCACAAGGCCCACAAGGCGAAGCAGACCTCTCCTGACTTGCCCGCTGCTCCCCTCAGCAGTGTACTTTGTCAGTCTGCCTGTTCTGCTTCCCGCTCTGTCTCTGGTGAATCCTGTCACGGTCTCTGCATTGGTCTCTGCATCTGTAGCCTGCACCCCAGTTCTGTATGGAAAGAAAGAAAGAGAGAAAGAGAAAAGGAAGGGGGGAGGGAGCAAGAGAGGGAGAACAAGAAAAGACTGGGGTGGGGAGCAGCTGCTGTGAGGTGAGTAGTTTATCAATCTTAGGGTAGCATTTAAAAACATCTCTGCTAAAAAAAAAAATCTCTGCTGTTCTGTCTGATAAATGGACAAAGTACTATAGATGAAGAAAACTCAATGAACTATTAACATTCAGGGGTTCAATTAACTTTTAACTTTTAATATAAGTTATTCAAGTTTCTTGATAAGCTGTATATGATCCTGATATAAGTAAGGGAGAGTACAAATTTGATTTGGTATTTTGAAATATCATTAGTTTTATCACCTGAAAAAAGTCAAGAATATTTTGTTATTAAAAGAAACTGCATTAATTAGAAATGCAATTCCCAGCAGTGAAGGCAATATGAAGAAAAAGCATTTTATTTTAATATTTGTTTATGGTGTAGAACAACTTGGGTGGGAGAAATGAGAGGATTCACTAGAGACAGAGTGGGAAGCAGAAACAGGCAGACTGACTGAAATACACTGCTCAGGTGTGCAGTGGGCAGGTCAGGAGAGGTTTGCAGGCCTCCCTGGCTGGGAATTGAACTCAGGCTATAGTGGTGATAGTCCTGAAACAAGCCCTTGGCCACCAGAGAAGCCCCAAGACCAAGCATTTCAAACTAAATTTTTAGTCCAGTATATGTATAAAGCACTTTATGTCTATCCACCTAGGAGTGGAATTGCTGTGTAATTTTAGTTGTTTTTTTTTTTTTAATATATTATGATCTTGAAGTGGCAGAATTTTAGTAAAAGAAAAATTAGTGGTTGCCAGAAGTTCAGGGTAGGAAGAAAGTGGATGTCGTAATGGGAAGAATCTTTACATTGCTGAGAGTAAGTATTCAGTATTTCTGCTGCTTAGAACTTAATACACAAAAATCATAAATGAGTACAAGTAAAGCTGGGAAAGACTTTAAGTTGATATGTAATTAATACATAAAATATACTCTTTAAAGTGCATGCTTTAGTAGTTTTTAGTATTGCTCACATGTCTGTTGTTTATACTACAGTTTTGCAAAATTTTACTAGTGGTAAAGACTGGCCAATGTGGACAATGGAGCGCTCTATATTATTCTTAAAATTGTAAATGAATAGATCATGATTTCAATAAAAATTAATTATAATGGTTTTCATAATTTTTTCTCTAGCTGCAAATTTCTATTCACCCACTCAGAGCTGGCAGCATCTATCAGATTTCTACTATTTGCCTTATTACTAAACTAAGGAAACAGCTTAACAGCATAAACACAGGCATATCCCTCACAAATAAGTTTCCATGAAGATAAAACACTTTAAATTTAAAACACCAGACCTTATTGTGTATGTGTGTGTGTGTGTATTACTGGTAACTTTATTAATTGCTTAACTCTTATTTATCACTGAAGCAGCCTATCCATCACTATATAAGAGTTTTAGCTCAATATAATAATCTCTCCATGGCATATGGGAGACCTCTATTCTGTGTCTTGATATACCCTGCCTCTGTCACTGACTGGGTGTCCACATTTCCTCTTAAAAGAACATCAGTCTTAATTGGATTAGGCCCCACTCTAAAGATTTCATTTTAACTTAATTACTTCTTTAAGGATTCCATACTCAAATAGAGTCACATTCAGCTTAACTGAAACTAAACTAGTCACCAACTGACTACATTAATATTTATCCCTTCTATCTCTGACTTTTCCTAAATATAGCTCCTCTTGCACCTGTTTCTCCATTATTGGGCAGAAAAACAAGATAATTATTTTTTTGTATGTCCTACAAAAAGATAAAGCTAATTCTAACAAAAATTTTAAATGCATACAATGAAAAGAAAAGCTGCCTTATCAACACAATTGTGTTCCTTTGGGAATAAATAATGGGTTATTGGAAAAGGGAAAGATGACTCATGCTGAAAATATTCTGTTGAAATCACTAGACTTTAAAAAAAAAGAAAATAATAACTAGCACAAGTGAGTAGAGACCCACCATTCTTCAGTGAAGGCAGCTGTGCTGCCCTTCTAAAACCTCCAATCAAGCTCTCAAAACTGATAACTTTTGCTAATTTACTGTAAAATATATTTTTTAACTAGGCATACACATAAGCCTTAATCTAATCCAAATCTGAATTATCAACTTTCAGGTATCAGTAAAATATAGAACACAATGATGCAACTGATAATGAAAGGAATTGGCATCACATTTTTCTGGAATAAAAGACAAATTATGAAATCTTCCCCAAATGTCACAGGATCGTGTCTATAGAAACCCTATTTAAATCCAACCACTATTCACTTCTCTATGCTAAAAACATTAACTAAAATTGAAGAGAAATATATTTACCTACATATCTATGTTTATATACCTATTTAAATAAAACCTGAGTCAGGATTAGATGAGCTAAAAGAAAAGAACTTTAATAAGGTCCTGGGGAGAAAAGAGGCCCCAGGGAATAAGGTCACTACATGAGCTGAAATGTGTCCCATCAAAATTCATGCATGAAAGTCTTAAACCTCAGTTAAGCTGAATGTGACTCTATTAAGTATGGAATCCTTAAAGAAGTAATTAAGTTAAAATGAAATCTTTAGAGTGGGGCCTAATCCAATTAAGACTGATGTTCTTTTAAGAGGAAATGTGGACACCCAGTCAGTGACAGAGGCAGGGTATCTCAAGACACAGAATAGAGGGCTCCCTTGTGCCACGGAGAGAGGACTCATTAGCTGTTTCCGTGAAGTTCCATTGTCAGGGGAGGTAATGTGGCACAGCAGACCTCTCCTCTCTCACCCTCTGCTCCCCTCAGCAGTGTATTTGTCGATTTGCCTGTTCCGCTCCCACTGTTTCTGGTGAATTCTCTTGCCACCCCTGCACCTCTGGCCTGTACTCAATTCTGTATGCATAAATAAATAAAATATTTTTTAAAAATACTTAACACATATAACTGATTATTATCACATAAATTTTGAACATGGCAGTTCTTAAGTAATATTCTAACACTATAGTATTTCTACCACTATAGTATAGTAGTTAGAATTAGCTTTTATTCAACTCAAAATTTCTTAACTATGTATCATTTTCAAAAGGAGTTCTCTGCCAAGTGATAGATTTGGGTCTAAATTACTGTTCCTCAGAGAAATAGAGTTGAATATTGGGAAAAAAACAAAAGTGAGTTAAGATAACATTTGAGTCTTTTATCAGAATGTTTCTGATAACAATATCAGAATTATATAATTTCCCATACTGTTTACTTTTCAGATAATTCATATACCTCGGCTAACAGATTCTTGTTTTTCACCAACAAACCAGCAAGGTCAGGATGGATTGTGTCAGCTTCCCTTTTGTGGGACATGATTTGGTGCCTGGTAGGAAGGACTTCAAGAGATGGATCAAAACAAGCCTACAAAGACAAACTACAAATCAATGAACTAAGCATGTACATCTATAGATCAAAGCCCACAGTGTTTCAGCCCACACAAAGTCTTAAAAGGAGCTCTAAATAGAATAGCTCTTTAAAATATTCATTTTGAGTTGCTCTTTTAATACATGTATGAGGATCTCGGGAAAAAGCAGGCAATATGTTGACCTAAAAGCTATAATAACAGCTATAAGTAACTGTAGCTCACCTAAATAGATAAAATTTTTGTGAGTACAGGAAACAAGAAAACACATATAAAGCTAAAAAAACTTTATAGAAACGAACTATTAGAAGGTAGCTGATGAAAGATTTACCAGTATGTGTTTATTTTTAGTCACAAATCAATTCCTATTCATTATATCATCACACAAATTGGTTTCTTAAATTTTATTTCAGTAAATCAACATCAATTCTGTGTTTTTTCCACACCTATACTGAGGGTGAAAATTAAGGAATCTTTACCATAATTACAATATGCCTCCTACTGTCAAAAGGGCATGCAGTCTTTTAAACTGTCAGTATAATTTTTGGTAAGAACAAAATTTTAAATTAGAAGAAAACATTTACAAATGGTATTACATGATGCTTAATATACTCAAGGAACACTTTTTTAAAAGTTATCAGATTCTAGAATATTATGCCTATCACAAAACTATATGTATGCATGCACATGGAGGGAAATATAGTTATAGTACCATAAAATCTTCAAATTTCTCAGGAATAAGGAAGATTTCACTTAAACTTGGCAAAGATATGTTCAAATAAATAATAGCACAATATAGTATCTATGGAGATGTTGGCACATATTTATATATCTGAAATCTATGTGCTATAAATCAATTTTACTTCATTTAAAAAAGTTAACATAGTCGCTCACCAACAGCCATATAGCACTTAACTTTTAAACTAGTAAAAAAGGGGGGGAAATGGAGTGAAAAAAAATATAATACAACACAACAAAAACAATATTTGGCATGATAGAAGGGGTGTAAGAAAATAAAAGCATGGGAAATAGAATGCACATAGTATGATGATAGAAACTGATCCAATAATCTGTATTATCAATAAATGTAAACAGGTTAGATGTTCCTGTTAAAGGTAACTGCTAAAAGCACCAATATTCAAAAAAGCAGAAAACTTTGTTGCAAACAACCTACATTTCAAATACAAGTTTAATGAGTATGTAACTTACAGTATTATCATATAATAGAATACTAAAATATATAGAAATTACTAGATAACTACACATATAGCAACACAAATCTCATAGGTAAAAAAGCAAGTCAGAGAGACTGTGCCCACTATCATCAGGACCACCTTCCTGTCTGTTCAGCAGACACACTGGGCTTTCCACTGAGGACAAGGACACTGTGACCACTGTTCTTGTCCAGGACACCTCAAGCTTATACGCCTAGCTCTTTTGGAGATATCAAGAGCTCCTCGCCTCCTCCACTGAATCTTAAAAGGCTTCTGACTATAGGTTTGATCGCCAAAGTAAGGTCATGGAAGCTGTTGCAGCTTCCACCTGGTTCTCCTGGACTTCTCAGGCTCAGAACCCAGGTACTATGCTGTAAGAAGTCTAGGTCAAGTGTGGATGTGGCAGCCCATAGCCAACATTACCTGCCAGTGAGATGACAGAGGAGATAAAAATGACTCTAACTCCAGCCACCATCTAACTTATACTACATGAGAGACCCAAAGGAGAACTTACAACTGAACCCAGTCAATCCCCAGAAATGTGAGACAATAAAATAACTGTCATGTTAACAGTAACAAAAGACTAAAAATAGTGTAATCTCATTCATAAAAACCTTTAAACAGAAAATTATACTGTTAGGGATGTCTAATTGCGTGCTCAAAGTAGGAAGAGAAGCAACAAAGTAATGGACACAAAATTTAAAATATCCACTAGGTAGAAGAAAAGGAATGTCATCAGGAAGCAGCACTCAGTAAGTGTCTCAAGTACTGATAGTGTTTTATGAAACTAGATGGTGGGTTCATAGGTATGTGTTTGATTATCTAATCTGTGTGTGTACATGCTGTAGCTGTTTTCTATGGATGATATATATATTTTTTTTAAATTATTACAAAAGTTTATTTTTACATCATTTTGCACATTTTTTTTTCCATCTCGATTGTAATCCCCACGGGTTTCCCATCACCAAATCACCCGTGTGCCACCACCATAGTCCCATGCATTTCCCTCCCTTCCCACCTCCCTACCCCCCGTTTTTGATCCCATTCCCCACTCCACCCCCACAAAATGTCTCTGGTATATGGTTGTTCATTATTTTTGTTATTTTCTCGCCTGGTCCATTATACTCCTGCTATGAGTGAAACCATCCGGTATTTTTCTTTCTCTTTCTGGCTTATCTCACTAAGCATGATCTTTTCCAGCTCCATGCAAGTTGCTGCAAAAGACATGTGTTTCTCTTTTTTGGTTGCTGAGTAATATTCTATTGTATATATGTACCACATCTTTTTTATCCAGTCATCTACTTTTGGGCATTTGGGCTGCTTCCATGTTTTTCCAATTGTAAATAAAGCAGCAATAAACATGGGGGTACAGGTATCTTTTTCAATCAGTGTTTTTGTGTCTTTTGGGTAGATACCTAGGAGTGGGATTGCTGAGTCGTAGGGAAGCTCCATGTTTACCAGTTTGAGGAACCCTATGGATGATATATTTAAGAACAAATCCATATACAAAGGATCCTCACTTGTTTATATAAGAAAAGATTTACAATGTACAAAAACTGTGATACATTCCTATACTTATAAATGGGGACTTTATGAAGTATTATTATGAACTGACCAATCTATGTGAATCAAAAAGAAAAACTCTCAAAAAACTTGAGATTGAATACAAATAGCAAAGCAGAAAATTATGTCTAGAATACCATTTATGTAATTTTAAATGCCAAAAAACACTAGATGTATTTTTTATATTAAGTTTTGAAAGCATACAGAAAGGGTATGCATCTATTTCAGAATAATTAACTCTGGAGAAAAAAACTGGACAAGGATGGTCCAATAATACTTTCATATAGGTCTGGAATAGAAGCAAAGGGCAATGTGGTGTCCTAGGGAGGTAATGATAACCAGATGACTTAGTTCTGTAGCTAAACAACTGTGGTCTCCCTCCAAGTGTTTAGTTTTCCTAACCTGCAAAGTAACAGGTTTAATCAAATTAACTCCGAGGTCCTACAAAGACTTTCAATACTACTTTGAATGCTGGATTTCAGTTAAATGAAATGTCAGAACAATTAGAAAGGCAAAAATAGTCAAATCCACTTTGAGGCTCCATTAAATTTAGATGCTATGCTTTCTGTTGGTCTAGAATCAAGTCAGGAATAAAAAAAGAGAGAGAGAAACCTCACTAGACCTCATCTCTCACATCATTTATGAGCAAACAAGAGTGCCAGTACTGGCTATGGAGCAAACAGATCTGGGCTTTATTTTCTTCTAGCTCCTAATAGTGGAGGAGATTATTTTATCCCCATCTGCTGAAAATGAAGAAATATCAGGGTACAACTCACCACTGAGTTATTTTTCAGAGACGTGTGAGCTGATGAATATTTCTCTTCTGAGAGCTTAACCTCCTGGGGGCTTTTGCTCTCACCAGTAGCAAGCCTTCCTGGAATGGAATGGTTTAAAAACTGGAGAGGGCCCGACATGTTGGTGGTATATGCAGCATGAAACAGATCTGGAAATGGTGATCCACAATGTTTCCAAGAGGGACTTGCATAAAGAGTCAGGAAGAATTGCTGAGATCTGCCAGCGCCAATTACTCTGTCTTTGAGAAGGCTCCACAGCTTATCCAAACCTCAGAAGGAGCTCTCTGCTGAACCTGTTACTTAGAGACAAGGCACATCAGGTTCTAAAGACAATAACAAAAATATTTTCAATTGTAACTGGTTGAACCAGTATGCTAATATACATACTTGACCTATGATATATGCTTACATGTTATTTGTGACTCAAAATCTGTTAACATCTGTTTTGCAACCTTTCTCATTTTCAATTTTTTCACTTTATCAAAATGCTAACTACAACCTCAAGATTCTAATATGGGTTACTATGTAGAATGTGATAATTCATAATGCTCTTGCTGTCCCAAAGGAATGTAAAATGTAAACTTCCATTATAGTTTTTATAAATTCTATTTCCCAGGAACTTCAGCACTGCCTTAAATTTTCCCTGCCCCCCAGTTCAATTCCTATTCTATAGCGAATTTATCTCCAAAGCTACATTAAATAGAGAAAAGGTTTCTTCTAATTTAATATCCAATTGTTTCACTAAGCAATAAGATAAAGACTTCTTTATAATTTTGGAATATATTTTTTTGGGGAAAAGGCATTTAGAAACTGCACAGGAGAGGAGTTAAGGTGGGACGTGCTTCCTTTCTTGGTTATATATCTCCCAGAAAATTAAACAGCTCCAGAATGAGAGGAATTTTCGTAAGAAGAGAAAAAAAGTCAGAATGGTGTGATTTGAAGAACACTGTACAGAAAGCATGAAGGTCTGATATTCTTCACTAGACCTGAAATGTATTTTGAAATTCCTCTATTAATTCACTATAGACTTACTAATATTGATCACAATTATTAAAACACAAAGATCTCTAACAAGACTTGAGCTACTTCATCATTTTCATTATTTGATATCATAAAATATTACTACAGCTATTCCTTTTCTAAGGATAAAAGAAAAGAAGAACCGGAGGGGAAGAACAAGTTTTTGGTGAATGAAAATAGAGAATAAATTGTCCATTAGTCCTGGAATGAGAATGACACCAAAGATAAAGGTCTGCTTAGGAATCTCTCTTTTACAATACTTCTTTTTCTCTTTCTTTAAACTCTATTAATATTTTCATGGATATTAATATTAATATGTTCATAAATATTGTGCTTTATTAAAAACAACTTTTCTCACTTTTATTTCCTCTAAAAAATAAGCCACTCTGTGGACCCCAGAAACATCAGTATGTATATAAATCCTTAGTATCAGTTCAATAAATACCTCCTTCCTGGATTTCTGCAAAGTAAGGGTAATCATTCTGTTAGGGGGAAGGATGTCCTAAAGGAACTCTGCAGAGTCTTGTGGACTCCCCACCCCTACTCCAGCTTTCTGGATTCCACCCCTTACTTAAGTGGTTGGAAAACTACAACTCCCAGCAGTACCAAGGAGAGAACTGTGAGGACCTAAGGGCGGAGCTAAGCAGGGATTCTGGGACTTTGGGGGATAAAAATAGTAAGTGGTTTTCCAACTATCATTCTAGAGAGGAAACAGTTCTCTCTCTCTGGAGCAACTGCTCGCAGACTGTGTGACTGGGGCTAGCAGCCTGAGTTTGGGACTTAGAGCTCCAAGTTAGCCGCCTTGGTAAAGTATTCCAGCTACTTTGTATCCCTCTTTTTTTCCCTGGGTTATTTCCTTTTCCTTTCCCCTTTTTGTAAATAAACCCGTTATTGACCCTTTTGTTTGTGTCTGCAGAGTAACTGGATTTTGAGCGTGGGCACAGTGAGGCCCCACAGACAGGCAGCCCAAGTCAACTCTGGGCTACCCTGTAACAATTCTTCCCCTCCTACTTCTGATAGCATATGATCTATACTTTTCCTTTGATTGTTATCTCATTTAATATTGTATTGTGTAAAAATATTATTTTCTTACTACATTAAAGGTACCTAAATGTAGGATCTACTTTTGGTTTATTTCTGCTATGACATACTAGCCACAAAAAAATATAGATTGAACAACTAAAGAACTCAAAAGAGAAAGTAAGCCTTAATACCAAGTTAAATAGATGCCAGTACTGTTGTCCAAAAGTAACCTTATAACAAATAATAAAAATACAGTAGGAATATAAAGTAAAAATAACAAAATATAACAATACAAGAAATTATTCTTATGTTTATATATGACTAATCTATTTTTTTACACATTAATAAGTTTTATCAATACTTCAAACTAGAAAGATAAAGTATGACATGCTTTCTTTAGTAGGAAGTAAAAATTTTACCATATAAGGCAAAGAGAAAATTCCAAATCCAAATCAATTCCCAGAAGAAACCTGTATTGTTCAATATGAGCAGCTGCCCTATACAACTTGCCAATAGAATGTTCGTATATCAAAGAAGCTGTTGCTAGGTGAATGCATCACAAATGTCAAGGATGTATTCCTAGGGTATATAGTGGGGCTTGCAGTTATTGCTTTAATTAATGAAGTGAAAATACAAGGTGGTTTTCATCAAGCATTAGTGAACCAAAGAACTCTTAAGAAAGTGATGCTACCAAAATTAAGCATTCCAGCAAATATGACACCCATATTTTGGATCCTTGTGAAATTAGGTCAAACTTTTGTATTCTAATTCATTCACCCTATCAAGGGATAAGTATTTTTGTTACCAGGCAAAAAGTCTAAAAACTGTCATCAGTTCAAAACTTCTCTCATTGGTTCTAGGGCCAGCCACATACCAATACAAATGCAAACAACGGGTCTTTGGTACAGGGGGAGAAAAATCAATTTATTCTGAAAAGATGGAGGGAAAAGGAGGTGAGAAAGTACAGTGTGCCAAGGCCTTCAGTGTCTGCTGCCAGAATATGTGGACCCCAAGAGAGCAAGAGAGAATGCTGCCATGTTCCACCACCACCACTACCAACAGAGACCTATGGAGGGGCGGGTGAGAAGGCCCAGCAACCACCTAGACAGAAGCACAGCTTCTGACACAGCATACAAAAGAAAATAACAGACTAGTCGGTTAAAGCACAGCACTACGAAGCTAGCCGCAACGGCTTCAGCACAGTTCCACTGTCAGAGGTGACATGGCGCAGCAGACCTCTCCTGTCTGGCCTACTGCCCCCCTCAGCAGTGTTTACTTCATTGATCTGTCTATTCTGCTCCCCACTCTGTCACTGGCAAATCCTCTCACACCTCTGGCTTGTACCCCAGTTCTGTATGCGTAAGTAAATCTTAAAAAAAAAAAACCAAAACAGACTAGTATACTTGATGAGCACACATGAAAAATCCTCAACAAACCTGTAGTAAACTGAATTCAACAATACATTAAAAGGATCATACACCATGGCATATGCAGATGTATCATCATTTACAGGTGACATGACAAAGTACACAGAGAATCTTACCATGCCACCAAAAGAACTATTAGAAACAATAAACCAACATAATAAAATGGCAGGTGACAAAGTCAATATACAAAAATCTGTTACACTCCTATGCAAACAACAAATTATCAATAGTGGAGAAAGAAATCAAGAAAACAATTCCATTTAAATTGCATCACAAAGAAATATCTGAAATTAAAATAACAAGAGGCGAAAAACCTGTAAAATGAAAACAAGACATTATTAAAAGAAATAGAAGACAGAAATGAAAAGATAATCTTTGCTTGGGCTTCCCTGGTGTGCAACCAGTTAAAGCACCGTATTATGAAGCTCTCCAAAGCCACTGCAGCACGCATTAGATTAGGCCAGGGAGCTGACCCATATGGTATGGCAGACCTCTCCTGACCCGCCCGCTGCTCCCCTCAGCAGTGTACTCTGTCAATCTACCTGTTCTGCTCCCCACTCTGTCTCCGGTAAATCTTCTCACCCACCACACCTCTGACCTGTACCCCAGTTCTGTAAGCATAAATAAATAAATCTTTAAGGAAAAAAAAAAGATATTCTTTGCTCATTGGTTGGAAGAATTAACATTGTTAAAATTATCAACTCACTCAAAGTGATGACTCAATGCAATGCCTATCAAAGTTTCAATGGCATTCTTCATCAAAGAAAAAGAGGAAGTCATTTCTAAAATTTATATGGAGCCACAAAGAACCTGAATAACCAAAGCAAGTCAAATAGTAAAGGAGACATGTGTCAAATCCCCAACTTCAATATATTACAAAGCCTTGGTAATCAGAACAGTTTATTACTGAATAAAAAAAGACACAAAGATCAATGTAATAGAATTAAGAGCCCAGAAATAAACCTACACATATGTGGACAGTTAATTCCAACAAAGGAGTCAAAAGTATGCATTGGAGAAAGGAAAGACTCTTTAACTAATGGTACTGGGAAAACTGGGCAACTACATGCACATAATGAAAAAGACCACTATCTTACATCGTCCACAAAAAATTAACTAAAAATGGATTAAAGATTTCAAAATGTACAGAAGGTAAGAGACAAAGCACTCTGAGACATTGGCTTCAGAGATGTCTTTGGTGAATTGACTGAAATAGCAAAGAAAACGAAAGCAAAAATAAACAAATAGGGCTAAGCTAAAAAAGTTTCTGCACATAGAAACTCATTAAAATTAAAAGACACTATGAAAAGGAACTGGAAAGGTTTAAGTCTGAGAGAGAAAGACAAATACTGGACGGTTTTATCATATGTGGAATATAAAGAAACAAAACAAATGGACACCATCAAACCAAAACAAACCCTAGAAATCTGACTGCAAATTCAGGCCACTGAAGGGGTATGGGGGTGTGGATCAGCAGATCAGACAACTATGGGTGCCTTGTCGGTGGGCATGGTGTGGCAAAATACACCTGAAGAGGTTTGAGCCTGTTCCCCTAAATTGTATATAATGTTATAAACAAACACTTTCAATAAAAGTAAAATACAATTTAAAAAATAGATATTAAACTCCATGGAAAGTCTAAGAATGTTGCAAAGTGATCTTTCATGTATTTCAGTCAAACCATCAGGTGATCCCTTAAATGTGCAAAAGGTGAGCTGACACTGTTTTGGAATTTTAAGATTGGGAAATACTGCAATAAACAAATCTACTAGTAAATAGATTATAAAGAGCCTTGCTTCTTCAAGGTGTATGATAATTTTATT